ATAATAATAATAATAATAATAATAATAATAATAATAATAATAATAATAATGATAATAATAGTAATAATAATAATTATTATTATTATTAATAAATAATAATAACCATCTCCTATCATTTATCATTTAATTTCATCCGTGAATGATTATCATCGTTCTCTGATTGTCTTATATTATATTATAATATATACTTAAATTAAATGTAATTTTAGGAAAGAACGAAGAAATATATTTTAAGAAAAAATAAAACAATACTGTGACGTATCTCCCTACCCTGTATTAACACGTCTAATATTCGGGAAAAAAGGAAAACAAAAAAGAGAGAAACAAACACTTATGTTATAATAAATTATCATAATAATATTGCCATTTGAGAAGAGATTTATTTTGTGCATCAATAATAATAACAATTGTATTAATCATATATTGAGCGATTCTCCAAGAATGTTTATCCATTTTTCTTTGATAATGAAGTATTCAAAATCGGATGTTTAGAATTTTTAAAGACACTTGTAGATTATATTTTCGAATATTTGAGATTTTTTGTATCACTAAGGGATAATCACTTGGCAATACAAATTTTTTTTTTTTTTTTTTTAAATATAAACCCTCATTTTTTTCTGCAAATTTTTTGAAAGATTTTTTTTTTCTTTTTTTGACGTATTTATCTAAATTAAAATTTGAACAAATGGTTTTCAAGTTATTAAACTTTAAGCATAGATGATAATGACATGTGTAAATAGCCCGGATACCAACAATTGGTATATTGTTTATGTTTAAAAAATATTTTAGACGAGAGATTCGGTGCTTGGACTATAGTTACAGAACATTATTCTTTATATTTAAAGTTTTTATGACAAGTATTTGTAAAAAAGGCTATCAAGTGTATTTAAAAATTATAAAAATAGATTTTTAATTACTTCATAATAAAAAAAAAAAAAAAAAATGGTTTGACGTTCTTGGTGAATCACTCTGTATTTATAATATAATTTATTGAAACGAACATTTACAAAAAAAAAAAAAAAAACTTAAGAACGAAATTTATAAGATTTCGATTAAAAAAACAATATATACTATATACGGCCATAAGGGTATGTACAACAGCGCGTATATACGAATAAAATACTCAATAATCATCGTTTATACGCACGCGTGTACTTATGTATATAGTATTTACTCGTTACTCGGCGAAGAGTCCGCTGTACAATATTATAATATTATGATACAACTTTTAGCGAATCGTTGAATCGTATCGGGTATGTATTATATATTATGATACTGTCGTAGATGAGCGTTTAAGTTCTTCTGGGTTCCAGTTTCTGGGACATGCTCATCAACGTCCGCTCGTTGTTTATACACCTTAAACAACTCACGTACGACTTGACGTCGGCTTCGTTTTTCGACACCGGCGGTTCCAACACTGAAAAGTCAAAAGAAAAACGAAATTGAAGTGTTGGCTTAGCGGTATTATAGTGGTACAATTCAATATTCATAATATAAACTAAACGATTCTTTACGTAAAACACTCATTGTTTTAGAAAAACTACTGTTTTTGAAAACATATAATTAAAATAGTTTTAAGTTTATTATAAAATAATAATTTCAATTAAAAAATTATATTTTTACTTATTTGGAAAACAGTTTACATTTTTAACTTTAAGAAATATATTATTAAGAGTATTTCGATAAATATTAAAATAAAATTTCAACAATTAGTTTATTAATTATTATAAGTATTTAAAGTTTAGATTATCGGAGTAGTGAACCGGCATTTTATAGCGGGGTGCCATATGGTACTATTCCAGTATTCCACTCTGTTCATCTAAACATTAAATATTTATAACTCGTAAACTACTCGTCTAAAATACGATTTTTATGTATAGAAAGTACTCCAAAAAATGTGCTGTTTTAGAATAAAGAATAAAATGCATATTTTTGTAAAAAATATATATTTTTTTTAGAAAAATAACTCAATATGATATAACAAAAATACATTCCAAAATATTAACAGTTTTTTATGTTAAACGGATCATTTGGTATATTATATTAACATAACAGTTATAACAGATCGTTTTTTTTTTGGCTTTACCTTTTTCCCTCTGTATTTACTCTCACATAATTATTTAAATAATCTTCTAATTGAAATCAGTTGAGTAATTCAACTACAATAATATTCATAAAAATTAATTCTATTAAATGGTTATTTCTAATTATTAATATAAATCTTAATTTTATTTATTTATTTGAATTTTGTTATCTGAAATTAAATGGATCTTAATAAATAATATCAAATAAATTTTTTAATAAAATAATTATTTGATAAAACTACATTTAAAAAATATTAATAGAAAATATTTCTGACGGGATAAACTGACGTAAATAATCTGTTGCATATTATTTGTACGTTGCAGACTGCAGCAATGTCATTCTTGAGTTTTTTGTGGAATGAAAATAAACCAGTAATTTTACTTAAACTGCATTTGAATTTTAATTGCAAAATAAATACAATTCTCATATAATACGATTAAAAAATATTCAGAAAAAAATCATAGGATACAAATTAACACCACTGCTTTGGTCATAACTGTGCCCTTTTCCTTTCTAAGAAAAATTGTTTTCAGTAATGGCCATACCACTGCTGTATCTCAAGAATATTGTCATTGATGAAATATTGTTAAAAACCATAAAAAAAATCCGTCTTACCCAAATGCCTGGCTCGGCAATATCGGAGTGTCCTCATGGTTTGCGCCAGCATGTGCATTTTTTCAAAGTTGACCAAACCGTCCACATGCGTTTTGTTGCCGTCGTGGGTGAATTTCATGTCTAGAAAAGAAGGTTATGTATTTAATTTATTAAGATATTATAATATGATAGTGTTATTACAGTGTCGTTGTGATAAGTATCGCTATTTTATAGTTTATTACGTTTGAGACGTTTGGTGCTTTTTTTATGTGGGTGGATAACGATCACGGTAAATAAAACACGTTTTTAAAACACATTGCGTCAACAATAAACATTTTAATAACAAAAATAATAAAATTAAAAATATAACGTGTTGATAAAAAACAGGGTATAGCTCTCATAATTTTATTATATGAGTTAGGACAAATGTAATAAACAGGCCAAGTGCGCTACTACAATATTATATCGTTTGTGTTTATTGTCCTAAAGTGTTTTAGTGCTGTTGACTGTTTAAGTTCGCAGGCTTGCAACAGTAGTTATACTCCTACCTTTGATGAGTAGAGGCATGAATGGTATCATAGGAGAGGGCAATTTGCCCACAGTGATTCTGTACGCTCTGTGGTTCCGGCTAGGGTCAATGAGTGTCTCATATTCAGTGAATTGTTTTCGTGACTTGGACGGTAACTTGTCCCAAGTAGTTGATAACCGACTTACGGCCACGTCACTTAATCCCATGAGGATAGCGAAAAATGCGTTGAAATTATAATACTCTTTGCAGCTGAAACACCATGATTAATTATTATTCAACTTTTTTGTGAGAGTACAAGTAAATATAAAAAAATATATTAAAATATAATATATATTATTATTATATATATATTACTTAATATATATATTAAATGATTCATGTACTAAAGGACACGTTTTTTTTTTTTTTTTATATTATTCAATATCAAAATTATTACTATATGTATATACAATAGTACATATTATGAAATTACCTAAATATATGTTTAATTAAATATAACCTAATATTTAAAACTTTATTTTAATACATTTTATAGCTGTTAAACTAATAATTTTTCTAAGAAATTATTTATAAAGCTTGCTTAATCAAGTCAGATAAGATCAAATAATATTATAAAATAAAATAAAATTATATAATATGACTTAATTTTTTTCACATTAATGTACCTTATTAGATATTACGGTTGTGTAAAAAATGATACATTTAACATGTTTTATAAATAATTAAATGTTATAACTAAAAATTTATATGATAATAATAATAAACTTAAATTTTATTTTTTTATTCAAATGTAATGTTGTATAGTTAAAAATTAGAGAGAAAAAATATAATCAAATTTTTCGGCTATCACGCTTTGTTTTAACTATTTACTAGCAGCCCGAGAAATTTTACTTCATCTGCGCACCTCCTGTAGTTACAACCATGATTGATAAACCCCCCGAGTCCGTGAATATAGTGGTTAACTATAGATAATAGTAATATTTTTTAAGTGGTTGGGACTTCAGAGGGGGTAAGGATTTATAGTTTATACATTTTAAGTACATAAAGTGTAGATGTTTCTGAAGGTGAAATTCTATCTATGTTTCTGATGAACCCATCGCGCCGTGTACACTGGTTATTCACTACGCTGCTGATAACTCCATAAATCTCGACTCCATTATCTCTTCTCATTACTTTTAAAATCAGCTCTCTCACGGAAGACTGATACACAAAATGGAAGCTAAAAATTGACTAATCTAAAACGGTCTATATTCATCTTCATGTTTATGTCTTGCCTTTCTGTCTCCACGTATATCATTAAAATTTGAATCTCACAAACTATTAATTATTTCGGATGAACTCTAAATCTGGGTCCAGTATATTAAATCCAAACCACTCAATATAAATTCTTGTTTACGTCTATTCAAAACATTTATTGATTATAATATTCACGCAAACATTAACACCAAACTGCTTTTCATTAAATTTATATTTAAATCAGTGTTTTATATGCATATAGAACAATAACTTATTGATATGAAATATCGCACTCGCTTCATCCATTATTCGAAACCTACGCAAACACCTCAAATGAAAATCGAGTCGTTAACTTTTTGACTATCAAAGCTTACCACGAAAATATTTTATGGTTCTTCTTATTATTATTATTTTATATAGGTACCGTATTTATATCGTCTTTACAATAAAAATGACTTACAAAAGTATTGCTTTTACTATACCTTTATATAATATTAAATTAATCTTAACTTAAATATTTTAAAATATAATTTATTTATAAATTGTACGTAACTTAAAATACATGTTTGATAGTTTGTAAGTCTAAACTAGACCCCTTCGATTGTTCGAAACGTAAGATATTAGTTCTACAATTATCGTAATTGAGTTATGTAAACTACTATTTAATTCAATTCATGAATTCTCTAAGAACTATCTTAAATAATTATTTAGAATAAATAAAGCAGCATGGAGTGAAACTTAGGTCAAGTTATACTTTTAGCACTTAAATTCCCCGTAACGATATTATGTTTTAATTTATAAAAGTTTTATATTTAAGCAATAGATTGCGCTGGTGTATTGTTTCACTTTAATCATTTTCAAAATATCAGTATATTTTTTTTTTTTATTAATATTCCATATTAATTTAAACATTTGTGATATTTTCGAATATATAACAGTAAAATGTTTACCATTATAATTAATGCATTTCGATATTTTTTACTGTATTTATAAATAGTGTACGATAGTCAAAGTATAGTTAGATACATCACTTACTACGTAGCCAATTTTATCATTTTCTTCAGTATATTCGTTCTTTTTGATATATTTTGTGACGTACATATTTCGGTGATGACCCAATATTGAATTTCGTTGAATCGCCTGAGAAATATATCTAAATTTGCTGTGATTTGTTGGAACCGATGTCTGCCAAACGTTAAGTATATCAATTCGTACTAAAATAAAACAATTAAATTAATTGGTTTTTAATTTTTAATTTTTTTCGGTAAAACAAATACAATAATATCGTTTTGTACCTCATGGACGTTCCAAAACAATTCCCAATCGAAAAGTGTCATATGATACGCCAGTTCCTTGGTGCTCAGTGAATCAAAATCACTCGATATATCTGCCCCTTCAGATTTTTCTTGTTCTGGCACACATGTCTAAAGTCATATATTATTATTCATATTAGTGCTTTTCAGTTATAATGCAATATTTCAGGTTGTGATCTATACATAAAAGTCAGACTATAGAAATAAATTATTATTAATGAATTAAGCAAAATAATATCGGTAGTTAATGATAACTGTATTAATACTTCGAGATTTGAAAAATAATTAGAAAAATGTCCAAATCTAAAGATTTGTATAAAATTTAAATTTATTGCTATTGTAACTTGTTAAACATAAATGTAATGTAAGCATTTTTCGATTTAATAAATGTAATTAAATATTGAACTATGTAAACCAGTCTTACACTAAACAAACTATTTATGTAACTACCTTTTAATGTTAAATTCATAAAGTAAATTATATAATAATAGTTTTATACTATTAAAGTATGATATTTATATTATAATAGTATTGCTAAAATTTTTCATTCCGGTTGATGGTCAAATTAATAAAGTTTTTTATATATAAACTATTACGCTTCAAAAAGAAATTATTTAAATAATTATTTCGTAGATTATCTGGAATTATGAAATTACCTATCCCAAACTAACTAAAATAATTAAATTTAGGAATAAATCATTATTTTACTTAGATATCAAATATATTTATTAGTTATAACTAATTACAATTTTCACCTTCCAACATCAATTTCTATAATAATCCGTTTTTAAGATATATTTCATATTTTGTTTTAAAACTTTGCAACATATTTTCATTAACTTAATATATGTTTTAATTATATACATTCAGATTATGCATTTACATAGTACATACTATATTTTATTTTATTTTATCTTAACATTGAAATTACATAGGTATATAATAAAAGTTATTATCATTATATTATGAAAAATATACACATTTTTATTTAGGCAACTTAAATGATTTTTCTATCATTTTGGAAATAATGTACATTATTGTTTAAATAAACGCGAGTGAATAAGAATTACAATTTTTATGACCTAGAATTTAATATGCATACTTCTTTAAATAACAACTTAAAATGTGTATATTACCAAAGCATCCATGTGATCTTTTGGCGTTAGAAATATGCAACTGTTCAGTGCCACAGTGGTTGGTATCGAGTGTTCGCTATCCCTGAACGGCACCCTTTCCCCGTTTGATTTTACTTCTACTATTCTCAGATCCTGTACGGGATGTCGAAGACTGCATTTTTCGTAGGCTCCCACTTTGATAGTTTCTGCAGTGGCATTGACAGGCAGTCGCAAAGTGCAAAATGTATGATCGGCACAATACACTCGGAATATAACTGAAATAAACAGAACTTAAAAACGTATACACTGATAATAGTATAAAACTTTAACTTAAATAAACTAATATCTAATAAAAACTTCACTGGATCTGTTTGAGTTTAATCATTTAAAATTATATTCTAGCTCTTTCTTTGAAATACGTGGTGTAAAATGAGGCTGAGTTATAATAATAATAAACACTATTCAGTGTTTACTTTAAACGATAATAACATGAATTTATAATATAATGTGCTTACTATCATCGTTTGGTCGGATGATCGGTCTATTATTTTTTGACGGATTGCTTATTGCTGAAAACAGGCAAATAGGTTGACCACCAGGCGGTAACTTCCATTTTAAACCTGAAGTCTCTAATCGTTCGTCTTGATACCTTCTCAATCGAGACATAATATGATGCATTAGGCTGGCTTCCTCTTGCAGAGCTTGACTTTTGCCACCCAATAGTTGACAATCAGCTTCCACGTCACTAGCCAGTTCCTGATAAAAATATAAAAATATTTTGTCAATGAACGTGTAAATAATAATTCATTTTATGAAATTTAAAATACCTCGAGAAATGACATCGAGATGACATCGTCAAACACCGGATGCCTTATCGTAACCACCCATCTGTAAACGAATTGTACAACTTTTCTTTTACAATTGATTGTGTACTCTCTGTCTTGCGCTGGATTTTCCATATGATAAGTAAACATATATATTAAGGAAGCAATTACAAATATTTAACATTTTATTAATATTATTATTAATATATTTTTTTCTATTATAAAAGGATATTATTTATTGAGTTCTGACACTAATGTCCTGGTGGGCATAAACACTATGTGTGTTAATAAAAAATCATCTAGACACGGGTCGTTCCTGGAGCTTGCAACATTTGTGCTACTTAGTCTGTGCTCTAGAAGATGTTCTAGAATTTTTTGCGGAGTTCCAGCAATAATCATGTATCTAAGTCAACGGATATAATTTTTAGCTACTATATTCAATTGCACGTAATAGAAAACTTATTAAGAATATTATAATTTTTATCGTAACGTCGTACTTGTGTAATCGTGGAGATTTTTCTAGTACCAAAACGTCACTACCGAGTTCTTTCAGTCTGACAGTATTCGCTTCGATGTCCCTTACGATTTTATTATAACTGTCTTTATCTACACGCAGAAGATGAGTATTGTCTTCCTTGATGGATATGGTCGCTGATCTAGATTTTTAAAGAATCGATATTAACGCACAATAATATTATTGTGATTGATATGACAATGTAAAGCACACGATTTAAAAATACCTTGGAACGTTGTGTATTAATGCCAAACCACCAAAGTCTTCGCCTTCGTAGAGCGATTCTATAACGCCTTTGGAGTATGTTTCCACGTTGACCGCACCCTGCATAATCACGTACCACGCTTTGCCTTCGTCTCCTTGTCGGAACACTATGACAGAATATACAAGACCCCCAATGTGTTACAATCGCGGCCGACAGGTATTGTGTCACTGGAGGTTTGACATCAAACTAACTGAACAGTTGTTGTTTATTATGTGTTAGCTATATGCTGTGTTCGTCGTGTTTACGGTTAACTAGGTTTACGAGTTACATTATTTGTGAATAATCGAAGGAGAAATCATGACCACGCCGTATTTCCAGTTGAACGGTATTATAATAATAATCGCCCGGAAGCATTCGGAATAATCATGATAGTATTATTATGTTATTAAAACACTGTATCTGTGGTGAAAATGGGAATTTCCTTCATTATACGTAAACATTTGTTAATATTAAATAATAAACACATATTAAATTAATATGCGATGGTTACATTTATATAACGGGACTTAGTTAAAGTCGTTCAAATATGACTTATAATTATTAATATATTTCATATTAATTACGTAATATAATACAAGTATAATAAGTGATGCACGATATAAAATTTTAGTACAGTTTAAGTTGTTATGGACTTACAAAAATCCAAATCCAATATCTATATTGAATGAAATTGGTATAATATTGTTGAATAGTATACGTATACAAATACGTTTAAAACTAGAGATAAGTAATTCTAATAAAAAAATTTATTTTGCATATTTTTGAAATTTTTATATTGTTGAATGGTTTATAAAAACATTTTAAATGTTATTTTCAATACTTTGTGCAACACGTCAACAAATATATAAGAAATAAACATATTAGAAAAATAATATAAATTATTCTATTTTGATTGTTTAAAGATCTTTTTACATTTTACGGGATTATTCATGATTAAATTTCCACTCTATTTTCTCCCTATAGGTCCTACCATTTTTTTGCCTTTTCACTGTATCATAATAAAAACTTTTTATTGTACTTTATGCACTTGGAACTTGATTCACTTACGTATATGACCGGATCTTGGATGAGCTTCAAACACCACAACAGATGCCAGTTCCCGTTTCACCGAGTTTGGTAGGTGAGCCAAAGCTTTTTGTTCGCATAGTTCCTCAAATATCAGCTCTAAGTCCTCGGGCGTCCTCTCTGAGCTTCTGTCGAATAAAAACATAGACAATAAAACATACTTTCCTAATATACTTATTATATGATACAGATAATTGTTATTGTTACTCACGGTGATCGTAGGATTAGACGTAAGAGTGCATCCGGTCCCCTGTGGACAAGTTCCTGTAACGCTTCGTCTAGATGTTCTTCAGCCTCTGCCACATCTTGTATGGTGGGCGTGTTTAGTGCACCTTCTCTATCTTGCCAAAAGTTGTAAAATAGACACTTGTCCTTGAACGGGTGTTCCCCGGTAGCTATATGAATAACATGGAGTGATAGATTTTAATTTTTGGTTTATATTAATACGTACAATACGTTGACAATAAAATGATACATAGATTATATAATATTAAAAAGTGCTTGAAGTCCTATTTTATAAATGGTTATCTAGTTTTAATATACGTAAGTGTGCTTGTATTTTGACAGTAAAGTTATTATAAAAAACTGAAAGTATTCAGTTTTATTTTATTTGTTTTTAATTGCTTGTATAATTTATTAACTTTCTGATTCCTTTTAATCATGGTTATACTGAGTAATAATCAAGTATTCTCAGTTTTCACTTTTATTTATTCTTTAATGTTCAATTTATTAGATTTCTCAATTTTGGAATTTTTAATTATACATAAGAATCATATTTTTAAATTCTTAGATTTGTATACTTACTATTTAAATATTAGGTTCATACTAACTTTTTTTTCAGATGAAAACCAACCGTTTTTTCTATAAATTCTTAGGAAGATGATTTTTTTAATGTTGATATATCTATCTGATGTATCTTGATTAAAGTTTTAACAAGTTTTTTATAAGCTATATGAAAATTTGCATAGCAATATTGAGCAATCCAAATGATATATCTTAACCTAATTAATTAAGTTCAGTAACTTGAGTTACATTATAGAAACTAACAATTAATTTTATAAATTTTAATTTTACGCTAACATTATTATTAATACCTAAATAGTCAATAAGTGGTTTGAAATGAATGCCTACGAAGTATCAAAAATACGTTATTTTTATTAAAAAATGTTGATTAATAATTACAAGAATCATATTTTTAATGTATGCGTATCAATGTATCATCAATAATTACTTAACTATATTTATTTAATTATATGTAAATGTTACTTTGATTCGATTGAAAGTTATTGACTCGTTATTTATTATGTTAATATTAATAAAATTATTGAAGTTAAAATTAAAGTTGATATAAATTTAAAAAAGGATCCTAATTGCTAACAACTTTCACTTTTTTATTTTTTAATGCCCAGCATTAAATACTAAGAAGTATAGTTTTTATGTTAAAAAATAGTTTGGTTGTTTAAGTATTGTAATTAGGTAGAAACTCTAAAAAAAGTGAAGAATTAATTTTTTTCTTTTTCAACATATCTTGTCTAGTATTTTTATTTAGGATATCTGAGTATTATATATTATAATTACGCGCACAAAATATATGGTTGGGATGTTTTTGAATATAAGTTTCGAGTGAATCGATATAATTAAAAAAAATTCAAAAACAAATAAATAAATAAATGCGTCGAATACGTGATATCAATAATAATAATAATAATACTAAAGCAAATATTATTGTTGCGATGATATGGTATTATTTTTATCTCACCGTGCGATATAACTCCTTCCTCAAGCAAAGCTTGCCACATGCCAATCACGTCGTGTCTGCTGAACGAATTGTGATCGGTGGATACTAGGTTCATCAGCCAGTCGATCAGTTCGCTGCCGGAAGCGCATCTCCGGACCACGGATCGGCCACCACCGGTCTTCCGGTCCCTGAGCACGGTATTTTGATCACTGAGCAACAACGTGCGTACTACCCAACCGGCTCTGGCCATTGGCATACTGGGGTTCTGCGCAAACGCAACAATTATGATACATTACAAAATCTAGAGTAAATGAGTGAGTAAGTGCATCTATATAGAATTATAAGAATATAACCCACTATACCGTTTGCGTCAAGTGATTGAGTGAGAGTATTTGACAAAGATATAATTTTGTAGTAGTTATATACAGAGTGATTCACCAAGTATACTCACCCTTGTTTTATCATTTATATGCGTACCAGCCACAAAAAGGTTGGATTTTTGAATTCTGAAGTATTATTATTAATAAGACCATATTTTCAAATTTTTTTATTTTTTAAATTTAAAGAGTTCTGTGGTGGATTTTTCAATTGTAAACGAGCTTATTGTTAAATTGAAAAGTCAATGTTTATTTTTGAAATGTTGATGTAGACACACCTAGGTACATTCCTATTTATAAAAATTCAAGTGAAAAATATCGTAGTTAATAAATGTATCGATAAATGTATAAAGAATAATTAATAATCCACAATTCACAATGATAGATTTTGAAGATTTGAATACTATGACGATTTGAAAATTATAACTATGACAGACAAATATTTATCTTTATGTACCTATTAGCATAGTACCTATAAAGCATTGTATACAATTAAAAAAAAAGAAGAGTTTAAACGTTATAAAAAATCTGTTTATTTTAAAATATAGTCTCTAAGTTAAATTAAAAATAATCCGAAAATCATAATTTAACAAAAAATTCGTGCCAAGCATAGTTGATGTGAATCGCCCTGTAGATATATCGTATAATGTAAATACTACAATATTCTATTGTTAATTTTAGTTATGACCGACGTATTTGTTTTACTTCGTTATGAACTCGTGAGAAACCTAATCTCGTTGACATTGTGTAATCGGAGGTACATAATAATATATTGTATCAAATAATATTACTATACCGTTTTATTTTTCTAGATTTTCGTGTATACAGATACGCAACGGAAATATCGTCGTAATATCATGACGTGACACGCTATTATTATGCAATATAGTCGCTATAAGTTTATTTTTCACGGAATTATGTGATTAATCGATCTGGTGGAAAAATAATTGCTGTAGTAACAGTCAATATTTTAACTTCTATTGAATAATTACACTGTGCGCACAGCGTCTTCCGGTCTTACGAGAAAAATTGCAGATGACAAATTTACTAATAATACACTGACACGTATTTTATATTTTTATCGGCGGTGCGTTCAGTACAAATGTATTTTTTAAATACTTAAGTACGTCTAGTGCCCATAGCGTTTATGGAGTAACAATTTTTCTAAGTTCATCCGCAAATAGTATTAAATTTAAATTTAAATAATCCGAAGTGCTTTCACTGGTTGGTGCTTCCATCAAGTCATTCAAGCCACTGCATATTAATTAAAATTAAGAAAAACATCCATTATGCTTTTTGTACTTTTTTTTATGTATAGATTATATAAGTTCTAGATTAAAAAAAAAAAAAATTAACAATAAATTATATTTTTAAACACGAGCAATTGATGTACACATAATTTAATATGTTTTGATACAGTAATAATTTACAGATACAATAACGTTGTTCATGCTTCCTAAAAAAAAATCATAACCTGTACAATACTTAACTTTAAACATTAATAATTGGCATATACACATACCTAAATAAGTTTTTCTAAGTAGTCGATAATGTAAATTATTACCGTTACTTAAATGAAAAAAGAAAACAATTCATTTTTATTCTATGGGTTTAATCTTACAATCTATCTTTATGAATAATATAGGATTATAAGTTGAATTGAAGAAATTATTAATAACCACGATCATTTTTTTTTTTTATTATTATTATTCATACGACATTACATGCCTATGTAATTTTAACAGCAATCATAAATAAAACTAAACAATAAAAATTTGCATTTGCGTATATTAAATTAGTTTTCGCAGTTACTTTCAATATATTTGATATTAACATTATTTTTACAAGCACAAAAAAAAAAAAAAAAACAAAAAAAATACGGTAATTATAACTATTTACTGGTACTGAATACTAAACAGTAGTATAATATGGTAAGGCAAAAAAAGGGTTTTATTTTTGAAAATTGTAACTTTAATAATTCAAAAAGTATTATGCATTAAACATATTTATTTATAAAGAATCATTTTATTTCGTTCTTACTATTTTTTTTTTTTATTTTTTTTATTGAACTAAACTTAATAACAGTTTTGCGCAACCACATCGAAACAGCTACTGTTAATTGGTCCATATTGTTATATATGTGACTGTGACCTTTCACATTATGTTCAGTAAATCACTAAAATAGTCTTATTAATCATTAATGCATACTATGATATTATTGAGTATAGTTAAAAATAACCATCTGTAATAACAGAAATATGTGAGCAATTATTTTGCCGGGTGAAAGGCATAATATTATAAAATTCCCCTCTAAAATCTATGATAATAACCAATCGACTAATGGTAAAGCATTCGTACACATATTATAGTTCTATGAAATTTCTAATTAAATTTATGAACGCCATTATTCATTCAGGCGAATAATTGTTAATTGTTATGATGTGTATTTTAGACTCGTAGCAGAGATACGAATATTATATTGATTTAACAATAATATGTGTACCTACACGTTTCATATAGGTGAGAGAATAACTCGAGGGTAAATTCTGGTAAAAAGTTTGATCTAGTTAGTACTTTGAGGAGGTCAAGAAGAAAAACTCTTTAATATTTTTCAAAATAACTAGGTAAAAAAATAATCAATAAAGGAAAAACTGAAATTTTTATGCAAAACAAATTTTCGGAAAAATTGATTAAGTTTTTTTTTATTGTTATTCAAAAATAAATAACTGTAGAGACTTTAAATTTTCATGGAATATGATTTTATCATTACTACTTATTTAATTAAATTTTTATTAATTTAAAATGAAATTTTTGTGTCTACATTAGTTGTTTGTAAACTATTTTGCAGAAAATAAAAAAATATCGAAAATACAGTAACATTTTTTTTTATAAGAATTCTAAGTTAATTTTTATAAAATTCATAAATATATTTGCAAATAATTTTATAGAATAAAATTCTTAATATTTTTAATTTTTTACTCAAAGATTTAATATTTGATATAAGATATCTCATAAAATTATTTAATGAAAATTAAAAAAAAAGTTTTGTGTAATGTCACAGTAACTTTTTATGATCGATTGAAGATAACATTTTGATGACATAGAATATTTCAACGTATAAATATGACGATTAATCATCTACCGTTTTTAGTAATTAATCATCATTCAAAAAATATTTATTAAAGAAACTTAAAACATTTCACTGTTACTTAATTGTTATTTTCTATAGTCATTGGACTTTTTAAAATATTCAGACATATTTTAAGCTAATTAAAGAAATTTTAAATTTTAATTATTTTATTTCTTTAAAAAAATCATAAAGCTTGAAAATGTTATTAAAGATATCACATAAGTTATTCCTTTAATTATTTAAAAATATTAAAATTATAAAAATGCATGTTTTTGACTATTCAACCTACCATATAACTCATTGTAAAATACATTTTTGTATTAAAATAATATTATAAGTTGATAAACAGTTTTTGCTAGGAATCATTTTTTCGTATGCAATGATTTATCATTGAATTTAAATTTAACTAATTCATTATAGGGACTTACTCAAGTTTCAAAGTACACTTTACTACTTCTGTATAACATAGTGGATACCTACTTGACACCTACATTTCATTTTTATAAACGGTTTTTAGTTACACATATTTTACATATAGTATATACAGTGATACAGCTGTAAATAAAATGACACCTCTATAATCATGAAGCTATTATACTTTATTAGCATAAATAAATAGAGAATTAACAGCCTGTACAATCAAAAAAAAAAAAAAAACTATAAAACAATAAATACATTAAGAAACAAACTAAATAACGAAATAGAAAAGAACCTCCAGAAAAACTACTTAAACTACGTTATACTTATTTAAATCAAATTATAACACACACATATATATTTTTATGTTTGATCTAGAATTGTTGAAGTCGATTTTTTTACTGTATGTAGGTACTAAAGTTTAGTTTCTGTAATGAAATTATTCATATCATACAAAATTATTATTATTATTATTATTATTAATTAGTATATATGCAGTATATGATGTATAATTGTACTTTTTATTAATATTACATTAATACGAGTATTAGTTCCGTATAAAAGAACAAAAAATATTGTATAAAATAAAGTCATTTATTTTTTTAAATTTATGTTATCGCGATGTTTTTTTGTACATAAATATAAACCTAGAGGTTAAATATAATAATTCGTTTAATATATAAGGTATATACATTTATAAAAGTGCCATACCACTTGTGATATAGAACCAGCTCATATTGTATAACGTATGGATACGAGATTGTAGTTGGAACAAATTTTCCATTGGGGGATTAAAATTGAAATGTATATTTTCATAATTTGTAAAAGAAAACTTACATTTACTTTGATCGTAAGAAAAATATTTAAATACATTTAAATACGATTTTTTTTTTTATGCGTTATATTTGCGATTAGATTATTTTACAAAATTTCAAATAAAATATTTGTACGACACAAAGTCAAATGCGGTCTGTTTTATCTATGTATTATCTTATTGTATTACATATTTCTGATAACATTCACATAATATATTAACCAGTAACCGATTTATCATGTGCGATAAAATAAAATAAAAAAATTATTTTTTTTATAATAATTAATTATATTTAATTGACTAATACATTTCCTTCATATTGTATTACTGTAAAAAATTGCACAATAGGTGAATAATTTAAATAATTGTCAATAAAGTGTTTATAAGAGCTCACGGGTATGATAAACCTTGTATCTATATTTTATATTTATATACTAAATAGTAAAATAAAATGACGCCAACAGAATTCATAGAATTATATCATATGACAATACTATATCTAACTAACTTCTATCAAAGAAATAATC